AAGCATATAAAAGTAACGGCCTCAGTGCCTTTGAAGAAGAGCTGATGGAAAGATGCTCTGGTGACAGCGTTACCTGAAGGTTATCAGGCGCCATAATCAGAGTGAGAGGGCATAAATGAGCATCAGGTCATGAGCCGGCGTGTACCCAGGAGGTGCAGGTCAGACATCAGCCTCCATCTGCTGCAGCGACACAGCAGGAAGTAAGGATCATCTATACATACCTATGATCATCCTCCACCCCCCAAACACACCACGCTCAGAAGCTCCAGCTGCACAAACATGGAAGCTGTCTGGCGCTCTGTAAGGTGATGGTTTGGTGCCAGATGTGTGGAGTCTGACACGGCGACAGGAACCACCGGGGCCTTCAGGGCGAGAGACACTGACTGACTAACAGGGAGAGAGAGAAAGTCTGTGTTTGTGGAGCGAGCCGGTCAGAGGGCCCGGTTCACAGCTCAGGACACCATCTTTGATGTGTGTGTGTGTGTGTGTGTGTGTGTGTGTGTGTGTGTGTGTGTGTGTGTGTGTGTGTGTGTGTGTGGCAGGCATGAATCACCGCACATCCTCTGAGGTGTCAGAGGTCTGACTCTGGAAAATGTCAGATACATGAAAACACACACGAAGCCTTCAAGATGAAGAGGAGGGAAAAGTGTGTGTGCGTGTGCTGGTGTAACTATCATCGTCAGGACCTCAGAGAACAGCTCTGAGTTTCTCTGGTGGCTCTTTAAGAGGCTGTTCGAGGGTCCAGGTCTGAGCCGGGTCCAGGTCTGATCAGGATCAGGCTGAGCTCAGTTCACCTGGTGAGAACACGACAGAGTAAAGTCATCCGGCTCAGAGTGTGCCAATATAAACGACCTTCAGCGGGTCCCAAACTGGTTTTGTGTTTCCTGTTTGGCCGCTCTGCTCAGCCCGTGTCCTTCTTCACCTCTCTGATCCTACCTGTCATCAGGGTAACATCATCACCTTCCTCTTCTCTGATTGGTGAGTAAGCTGTTAAGAGAAAATAATCACATCAGGGGAAAATGCTGCTGCAGTTTTCCCACCTACACAAACACAAAGCAGACACACCCGGACATCTGCATGACACACACACACACACACACACACACACACACACACACACACACACA